GCCGAAAACTTAGAACCTCCTTCCCCCTAATAGTAGTCAGCCTCCTCATCCTCCTCCCCCTCCTCCTCCTTCTCCTCGTCCTTCTCCTCGTCCTCCTCCTCCTCCTCCTCCTCCTCCTCCTCCTCCTCCTCCTCCTCCTCCTCCCTCCTCCTCCTCCTTCCTCCTCCTCCTCCTCCTCCTCCTCCTCCTCCTCCTCCTCCTCCTCCCCCTCCTTCTCCTCATCCTTCTCCTCCTCCTCCTCCTCCTCCTCCTCTCCTCCTCCTCCTCCTCCTCCTCCTCCTCCTCTCCTCCTCCTCCTCCTCCTCCTCCTCCTCCTCCTCCTCCTCCTCCTCCTCCTCCTCCTCCTCCTCCTCCTCCTCCTCCTCCCCCTCCCCCTCCCCCTCCCCTTCCTCCTCCCCCTCCCCCTCCGCCGAGGACGCAGCTCGGCGGGCTCCAGGCGGGCCTCGAGCGCGTCTGCGGCGAAGCCGCCGCGTCGCCGGCGGCGGAGGCGGGCCCCCTCCCCCGGGGGGAGGGGCAGGGCGCGCGCGCGAAGGGCAGAGGTGCCTTCGGAGGAGGAGGAGGAGGAGGAGGAGGAGGAGGAGGAGCAGGAGCGGCAGCAGCAGCAGCAGCAGCAGCAGCAGCAGCAGCAGCAGCAGCAGCAGCAGCGGGAGGAGAAGGCCTTGGCTCGGAGGGGGAAGAGGTACCCATCCCGCCACCCTTGCCTCGTTCTCCCCCTCTGGGGCCTCCTGCTGGGAGGCCCTCGTCGCCACCGCTGGAGTTCGCCCCGAAATGCTGGTGTCAGAACGCTCCCTGGGAGAGGTCGTTGGAGCAGCGGCATCGGTACCTCTTGGGTCCCCAGTTGTTGGCGGCCCTTGCCGCTGGCCCCGCGGCCGTGCTCCGGGCGCCTCGCTCGCCTACCCCCACCCCCCTCGTCTCGTCCACTCGTGCGGTTGCTGTTCCTCCTCGGGATCCGCTTCCTTCGGGAGGGGAAAGCGAGAGAGAGAGAGAGAAGGAGAGACAGGAGGAGGAGGAGGAGAAGGAGGAGGAGGGGGAGGTCTACGCCACCGCCGACGAGCCACCAGAGTTCAGAGGGGGCGGCGCGCGCGGACCAGCCCTTCTTGGATAGCAGGAGCAGGAGGAAGGGGGGGAAATGAGAAGCACAGGGGGGAACGAGAGGGAGGAGGGGAGAGAGGAAGAATGGGAAGATGAGGAAAAGAGTAGGGGGATGAGGAGCATGAGGGAGGGCGAGGGGGAGGAGGGGAGAGAGGAGGAAGGGGAAAATGAAGACGAGGGAGGGGAGATAAGGAGCAGAGAGGGAGAGGAGGGAGCGAAGGTTAGATCCTTGATCCTCTGGAAAGGAGGGGGTTGGGAGGGGCCCAAGTTCCCAGCAGGAACGACGCTAGCTGCCCGCGTACTTCCACCCGCCTTCCCCCCGCATAGGTATCCTCCTCCTCCTCCTCCTCCTCCTCCTCCTCCTCCTCCTTCTCCTGCGATTCGGGTCAGCATGATGCACGCTGCGTGCACCCGCAATGGGATTGCTTGTGTTGATGTACGGATGGTGGGTCAGCAACGGACCACATGATCCTTCCCAACCATCAGTGTAAAAAAAACACACACAAAAAAACGATCACCTGTTTCACGCTACTGTGCCAGTCGCGCCGTGGTCAGGTTCAGCGGTCGCAAAAAAATCTGGATACAAACACAAAAGAGGCACCCAAAACAACTCAGCCCCCTAAAGTCAAACAAAAAGCACACACACGCTATGACAGTTGTGATCGGGTGCCCACACATAGCAAGTGTTCAATGCCAAGCTCTCTCTCTCTCTCTCTCTCTGCACTATTATTTGTCAGGGATAGCGGGAGAGAGAGAGAGAGGGCAGGAGGCGGATCCGCGGCCGCTAGGGCGCGAGACGGGGGATAGCATAAACAAGGACCAACGATGGGGGCGCACGCGAGGGGAAGGTCGGGAGGAAAAAAAAAAAAGACACAATTCATCGTCGATTCCCAGGAGAATGTGGGGAAATATGGGAAGTCGGGGGGGGGAAGACGAAAACCCTGACAGTATGGGAAAAAAACGCGGAGAGTGCTGGGAGCTGTGTGCATGTCTTGGTGTGCCCTTGGGCCCCCTCTGGAGGGGTGGCCCCCCGAGGCCGAGCACGGCCCCGAACCTCCCGCCGTGCCCCCTGCCGACGCGCGCGACGGGGCCACAGCCCGGTCCTCTGGCGCCCGCTCGGCTCCGGAGGGGGGCGACCCGGGCACCCCCCCGCACGCTCTCCAACGAGGCGCAGGCGCCGGACAGCACTCCGGCTCCTCCTCCGCCTCCTCCTCCTCCTCCTCCTCCTCCTCCTCCTCCTCGCTCCTCCTCCCTCCCTCCTCCTCCTCCTCCTCCTCCTCCTCCTCCTCCTCCTCCTCCTCCTCCTCCTCTCCAACGAGGCGCAGGCGCCGGACAGCACTCCGGCGATCGCGAACACTCTGGACGCCCGATATGGCAACGGAAAGGATGGGTACGATGCCCAACAGCAGTTCCTGTTCATTTTGAACCAGGCTCGCTGTCCGCGCCGCCCCGGCCTGTGTCCACTGGAGACGGAAGGCCGCCTGCCCAACAGCGGCCGCTGTTGGTTTGGGACAGCATTTGTTGTTGGGCGTTGTGCCCATTATTTCCGCACCCATTTCGGGCGTCCAACACGGATCAAGGGGGCGCGGATCAGCGACGGGTCCCGTCTCCGGGGGAAATCGCGGGTGTCCGCCGCCGAAGGAGGCGGCACGGGCCGCCCTTCGGGGAGGGCGCCCCCCCAGATCCATGGACTCGGCGACCGCGCGCCGAATCCATGGATCGCTAGTTCATCAAGGGCAGAAAAAACGCCCCTACCCTGGTTTACGGGGCGCTGTGCGCTGAAACTCCTGTGGGCCGACAGGCCAAACCCTGCGTGATATGCCGCGTCCTGGCGGCTCTAGGCTTTGGGGGTTCCTGGGAGGTTTACAGACCACGCACTTGTAACCCAGGGTAGGGTCGTTTTTTCATCCCTCAAGTTCGTGTCTGCGCGCCCCCGAAGCATGCCGGAGCCAGAGTTGGAGGGGGGGGACCTTTCTGGCAGGCGGTGGCGCTGGAGGTCCATCCGAGTGGTTTCAGGGCATCGGCTACAGCCTTGATGTACAGTCGGTGCGCTGAAGAAGGAACCCTTTTCGTTGGGGAGGGGCTCCGCGTTCCTTAAGTGTTTCGCAGCTTGCCTCAGGTTTTCCTTCTGTTTTCCATCGGAAATCGAAGTTTAACTTGTGGAAAAAAGGGACCTCGTTCCCTCATTTAGGGTTCCTTAGGTCAAGGCCCCGACTGTACCACAAAGTCGATTCTTCCGTCGCTGCCACGAGAATGGCGCAGAACGCCCGATATAGATCTACGGAGCATGCTTCGCATCTCCTGCAGACTCGACGGAAAGAACAATCCGGAGGCAAGTCAATCCTGTAGTCCATCCCCTACTCGAGGCAGTTCCCCTCCCCCCGTGGGGCCAGAACATGCCCTTATCCACCGCCTGCCGAGGTGCCCGAAGATCGACCCCCTGGGGTGTTGCGCCCGCGCGCCCGCAGCACAAAGAGGCGCGCGGATGTTGCCCTGGCCGCGCCGCAGCGCGTGCGCCACACAGAAGGACCGGCTGCGTCCGCCGGCGCCTGCCTGCCAGAGAGTGCCTCGGGAGCCTTGAGACGGGGATCAATGCAAGCGGGGTTCAGCCAGGGCACCAGATCCTGCAGGATCCTGCGAAGACCCCCTCTGGCTGACCCGGGTTAGCGAGCCGCTCGTGGCCGCGAGGCGGCCGCGCATATTGGCTGACCCGGTTTTGCGAAGGTCTGCGTTGCAGTTGTTTTCCTGCATTGCAGTTTTTGGTTTTCCGTTGACCCGTGTCTGGATTGACCCGGGTCAGAAGATCCCCGAGTGCCGAGGGCGAGTGATTGTGCCGGCAGTGAGCAAGATGCAGAGCCAGGGCGCGAGCTCGGCCGGAAGGCTTGAGTCGGGCACGTCCCTCCACAGGAAGAATGTTCAAGAGCAGTCAAACATAGTCTCGTGACGATGTGTCGTGCTCTTTTGACTACTGTTGAGCATGTGTTGATTGTTTTGTCCAAAATCCACCTACATGCCCGACCGAATGGAAGGCACAATCGGTGCCGCGGTATGAGCGCACACCAGGCACGATCTGCGTTGGGTTCCCGCGAGCAGCGCTCTTGCTCCTGGCCGTCACGCGCTACACGGCCAGCGAGCACGGAAGCAGCGAGGGGCTCGTCGTTGAGCTCTCCCTGTTGCGGGGTGCCGCTGCGATCGCACGACCCTGGCCACAGGCAGCGCATCACACGAGTGCGTCGGCAATGGACGAGCACGCGTTGCTCTCCAGGGTTCACCACGCCACCGTTCGTGGCGGAGGCCACTGGGTCATGGGCGAGGCGCACGGGGCAGCCGGCTGCTCGACGCAACTGGCCACGCGGCACAGCAACTGCTTCACCGCCTCTCTCTGCGTGCTCCTCTGCGACCAAGGCTTTTCGGGGGGACGCGTTCCACTGCCCAGCAGGCCCGACTCGAACAGGACCCGTGCGCACTCGCCGCCGCCACTGTGGCGCACAGCGTGCACGTGCTTCCCGATAGTACATGATCAAAAGGGGAAAAAACATACAGACACAATTAATCGTCGACTCCCCAGAAAATATGGGAAAATATGGGAAGTGGGGGGGAAGACAAAAAACCAAAAAATGTTGGAAAATATGGGGAATCCTTTTATTTGTGTGTATCTATTTGTGTGTCCCAGGGCCCCTTCACATGAGGCTACGGAAAAGAGCCTTTCTTATGAACATTGCCGCCATGCCTGTCACCACATCTCACCTCGCAAGTCCAGTCTTTCCTCCTCCCCCATACATCGGCGATCAGGGCCTGGGTGCCCAATTCTGCCCCAGAGCGAGCGGTTTCGCTTGTGGGGGAGCCTAGGCGACGTCGACTCCAGGCCAACGCACCCCCCCCCCCAGAGCCAGTCCACCGCCTTCGACTCCCGCCCGTTTTCCTCTGCAACCATCTTGGCGACAGCGGGTCCAAGGTTCAGGCGCTGAAACCCTTTCAGGCCGGTATCGAATTCCGTCTACGGTTTATTTGTGCTCCACGGCGTGATGTTGTCGCAGCGAGCACTTATGTTTCTTCTTACTCTCCGAGCTGCGGTGGCGGCATCGTCTGCAGGCACGCAGACCACGAAGTCGGCGAAGACGAACTCGAGCGGTTCGACCACGCAGACGTACACGGAGAATGCCGTCTGTAAGCAGAACCGTTGCGTCAACCCGCTCTTCCCCGGACTGTACGACCTCACCTCGCTCTCTGCGCTGTCGTGGACGTGCTCAACTCACCCTATCCTGGCGGTGCCCACACGGAGGTTGCGCTATAGCGGGGTTGGGCTTCTAATCAGGCGATGGGGTTTCTAAGAAGACAGCCGTTGTCTCAGAGGGCCCCTTAGGCTTCCAAAAGTGTCTTAGGAGCTGGGCGGGTTTTTAAGAAGCACGCCAGCTTTCTTAGAAGCCCCGCAGTGTTCTTTGAAACACCCCCCTTAACGTCACCCCTGTGTGGGCGTCGCCAACAATCGTGATCAGCAACCTCGATTTCTGCTCTAACGCCGTGTACTACGACCCGGCCATTCCCGACATCTCCGGCCTCACGACCTCGGAGGTCGTCGGATGGGCCTCTAGGACCTGGAGAAGTCGTTTCGTTTCAGAGCGCTCTCGAGCGTTCCGGATCCTTCAGGGTCGCCCGCGGCGCCTGACACATCCTCCAGAATTGCCAGATCTCAGACATTCCCGGTTTATCCCGATCCGATGTTGTACGTACGGCTATTGATTTCATGTCAGGTCGTGCGGCAGCAGGATGACGCTGCGGCTACGCAGTTCTTCTACCACCTCAGCGCGCTGGGATACGAGGCGTGGGAGCACAATGATCCTGCCCACGACGACGGCGATGAGTGCGTCCAGTTGGGCAATGCCAAGCGTGGTCACCACTAGGGGGGTGTCAAGGTCCCAGGTCCCAGGATCGAAGCTCGACGAGCTTGTTAGACGTTTGGGGTCGTACTGGAAGGCTCTGCGGTGTTTTGGGGGGGGGGTACTTCCTCGAGGAGACGGCGTTTCATCCAGGAAGCGGCGACCCCCCAGTTTCAGGAGCGAAAGAAGGACGTACACATACATGAATCCACTTTGGTTTCCAGAGTACGCATTGCGCTCACGTTCGTATCGCGCGGCCGGTCTCGCGGATTGGGGGGCCGTGTTCATGTACGTGGTTGGGCGCGTACGTCCATTGTGGGCTCCCTACAGTTGTGACACCCCCTGGCATTGCCCATCCAGAGCGTCTGGAGGATGGTGTGCTACACCTACTTCCCCAAGGCCCAGGCTGGCTGCCCCGCGGGGCTGAGCACCCGGTATCAGCGCCCTTGCTCTGGTTGTTGCGAGGATCTCCAGAGTAGGAAAAGGTATTGATACTGCCACCCTTTCCTCGGTTTCGCTTTCTTGAGCCTCTTGTGAGGCCCTCGTCGCCACGGCTGGATATGTTTCAAAATTCCTTGGTCAGAGCGCACCCAGGGAGAGGTCCATGGAGTAGCGGTATCGGTACTTGTGAGTATTCCAGGACTATTTGTCCAAGTGCTCCGTGGAGTGCTGCGACGAGAGCAGCACGCAGTGCACCTTCACGTGGGAGACCGCGGGAGGAAGCATGTCCGTATCCACCGCCCCGCGCGGAACTTGCCCCTGCGACTGCGTACAGTCAACCCGCACGACAAGGATGGGCAGCCTTCCCAAGGGTACCCTTGCATCCTTGGCTCCTTGGCCACTTCCGTTGGCCGCGCCCCGCTAGCAGAGTGTCGACAGGGCCTTCCGAGGCCCTTGCACCCTTACAGCGCATCGTTAGGATACGGGCCGACTGTAGATGTAGTCTGGGCCGCCGCCTTCTAAGAAGCAGCCTTCTGATAAGATTCCCCCCCTCCCCCGACCCCCTTGGGCGTGCCGCCAAATTAGGCAACGCCAGGACTCCGAGGGCGAGGGGGGAGAGGAGGAGGAGGAGGAGGAGGAGGAGGCAGGAGGAGGAGGAGGGGAGGAGGAGGAGGAGGAGGAGGAGGAGAGGAGGAGGAGGAGAAGGAGGAGGGAGGGAGAGGGAGAGGGGGAGGGAGAGGGAGAGGGAGAGCGAGAGTGAGGAGGAGGGAGGAGGGGGAGGAGGAGGAGGAGGAGGAGGAGGAGGAGGAGGAGGAGGAGGAGGAGAGGAGGAGGAGGAGGCGGAGGCAGGAGGGAGGGGGAGGAGGAGGAATCGCGCCCGGGAACCCAGCCCGCGAGGGCGTGGCTGTGGGCACGCCCGCCGCTCGCGAGGAGAGCAGCACCGCCGGCGGCACGTCCCTGCTCCAGAGTGCCTACGACGAGGAGCTCGGGCCCTCGGCGCAGTGCACCGGCACTCGGGCAGCGACAGTCTCTTAGCGAGCGAAGAACGGTATAAAATAAATGTTCCGCCGTCGGGGACACCTGCCCCTGGGCGGCTGGAAAGTTTATACCCCTACGGTGCCACCGTAAGGGTATAAACTTTCCAGCCGCCCTGGGACAGGCGCCCCCGACAGCGAAAAAGTTTATTTAATACCGTTCTTCGCCCGTTAAGTCTCACCGACACCGGTCCCTCCAGTCGAAGGAGAGCAAACGCCATAGACATGAACTTTTGGCCCTCCGCGTGGATTTATTGGGTCCGCGCTGGGCCCCCCCCGGCGGCGCTTCCGGCGCCGCTCCTGGCAAGCTCCGCGCGCCAGGGGGGTGTCACGCGCAGATCCAAGAAATCCGCGCGGAGCGCCAAAATTTTATGTGCATGTAGTTGTGTCTCCTTCTATCTAGGCCTCCCTGATGGGGTCGGAGTAGACGGGGTCGAATCGGGGGCGGCCAAGAGGGGGGTGATGACTAAGGGGGGTGGAGATCAAGGCGTGGGCCATGATATTTCCCCAGATTTCGTGGCGCCTCTTCGTATTTCATAGCGTCCCCAGGCCCCCCCCCCTGGGCCGCACATGCCGCTGGCCATGATTTGTACCCCCCCCCTCTCGGACGCCCCCCTCTTGGCCGCGGCCGATCGAAGCATGCCTAGAAGGCCACGCCAAGACACCCCCTGCGTGCCTCCAGGGCGCCCTGGGCTCCTCTGGCTTCGATGGTTTTGATGTGGAGAGCGTGACGCCTCCACACCAGAAGCCGATGGACCTCCTGGGGCCTCAGGGTTTGTGGAAGGTTTCGAAGGGTTGCAAAAAAAAACCCTTCGACGAAGGGTTGCAAAAAAACCCTAGGTTTTTTTGCAACCCTTCAAAAAAACCCTTCGACGAAGGGTTTTTTTGCAACCCTAGGTTTTTTTGCAACCCTTCGTTCAAGTGTGGT